TTTGCATTAACTTTTTTATATTATAAAGAAACTCTTTCAAGAAGGTGTAGTAATTTTATTGTACAAGTCTTTCTTTTATTGCTCCCCACCTCCTTTTAGTATAATCTCATCATTAGGTAACATAGTGTTGGTTACACATGACTTATATGGTCTGATGAAAATTGAGAAAGAATAATATTAAACATTTAAACTGTAACCTCAAATTTATAGCTTTTTCTATATACATTTTTATAGAGGTTTTTCTACCTGATCAAGATGAATATATTGTACTTTATCTAATACTTATTAAATATTGAGCATTTCATTGATTATTTATTTCATTAAATTATTAGATATGTTGAAATGATCCCTTAGCAAATAAATTAGATTTTAGTCCCATAAGGATAGTTTTATAATTAAAGATTTTCCATCTTCAACATTTCTGTTCATGTTTATATTAGATATTAAAATTTATGCTTTTATTTGAAGATGACATTATTTGATTTACTACATATATAATTTAGCTAAATTATATCAATATTTATTACATCTGTATATCCTTCCTTGCATTCTTTTATATCCTGTTGCACATCTTGACTAGGAGGCAATCTATTTAGTTAAATTATTTTAACCATTTCTTCTTAAGCTTTCAAATTTTTTTTGATACTTCCTCTTAATTTTTGCCACATTAAGCAGAAATAGGGAGTAGTGTAATCTGTTAAATTTTCTATAAATAAAGTGCAGTGCACGTGTGTCTGTCTACCCATTTTTTCAATCTTGACAAACCTGAAGTAACACATGATTAAAAATTAAATAACTCATTTAAAGTTGAATTTAAATGTTGAACAGAGTGAAAGGTTTAAAAAAACAATTCTTTATTAGAGTTTTAATTTAATTTCATTTTTCATCACAATTGCAATTGATATCGTCTAAAACTGTAATTAAAACTTAAGCAGGGTGCAGTACATTGCTCATGTTTTTTTTCTTTTTTCTATCATGCTTACTGTGACGCATTCGAAATATTACATAGTTTGGGTTCCCTAACATCTTTTAAGAGTGACTTTATGTGAAGTGATCATAATGGTGTTTTTTTTTTTTTTTTTTTTTTTTTTAAAGAAAATAGAAATTGTATGTGAAATAAATGTAAACAAACTATGGAGATTGGTTGTGCATATGAAGAAAGATTATGCTGAATTAAGGTGTCAAATAAAAATAAAATAATTTTATTATCTAAATTCTTATGATTTTTATGTACATAGGATGCTGAAGGTAAAAACTGAAAGCCCTCCACAGGAGCTAGTCTGCCCAGAGGGTGGCTTCCAGGCTAGTTTAAATAATATTTTCTAATTGGGATGCATCTTTAAAACAAGTTTTCAGAATTTTTACTCTTTCATACTTAAAAATTAATTATGTATTTTTTTTTATATTCTGATAATTTTACTTCAGTAGAAAGTTACAAGTATACATACTTACTATTGCTATAATTTATTTATTTAGGTGTTATCAAGATTTCTTTTTTACAGGTGATTAAAGATGGAGATAATTCATCCATTCCATAAAATGACTGTGCAAACAAACATAAAATTCTAAATACCTATCATGACTGGATAATGGATCTAAAATATTTACAATCATTCAAGAAAAATTTTAAAAGCTAAGGGGAAATAGTCTGGTTGTTGCATAATGGGTCATCCATACATACAAAATTCATACCGTGTTACTTTGTATTAAATCCCCCTCTTTTTATTTTTTTTGCATGGGAAGCAATACATTGTTATTGATGTAATAAGTACAAAAAGTTCATTAATTATTAATTGGTTGAATTACAGTAGTTTTTTTAAATGCAGGTTTATTCTATTTCACTTTTTAAAATTTTATAACAACTGAAGAACATTTTTACAGATTAGATGAAAATAATTTTTTTATTGGGTTAGTTTCAAATTTTTCTTTTTCATTGTATAAAGTAACTAATTTTAAGTAGAATATTTGATGGATGTTATTCTTGCAAAGTAAGTGACAATACCTATTATGAGTGAACTTAATGAGAGCATTTTATAATTAAAAGCTATATAAGGTACTAAACAATTTCTTCATCAGCTTATTTTTTAAAATGTCAAGGAAGGCTTATTTCTATCTAAAGTATCCATAGGCCTGTCAAAACTTGATATGTTAACATTTACACATATACATTCTGACTGCTACTTTATTATTTGTCTTGAAAACTTTATCAGCTCTTATAGGAAACCACTTACATTTATTGCACATTTATTTGAATAAATATCTTTTAAACTATTTACTTTCAATTTTTATTGGTAACTTCTATAAAGTGTTGTGGAACACTGGTTATCAAGTTAATTTTGCAAACTGTTTTTTCTCATTAGGTGCCTCCCACTAAGCTTAGGTTACTGAATAAATTTTGGATATAAATAGCATGTGTAGAATTAAATATACATGTAAGTATGCATCTATGTAATTATTCATTCTCAAGCGTTTCACAAGCTTGGTTTGTAGGTTCATAAATGTAAAGTTATAAAACTTATAGATATGAGATGAAATATTGTGAATAAAATGGTAATTCCTTTATTTTAATCTTTTGTAATTTCTCTAATTACTTAAATCAAACATGTTCAGATTCTGTCTATATTTAAATATTTATACAGGATTATATCCAAGTCAAAACCTTTTTACAAAATACTTTCATTTAGAAATAAGTTTCTCAAATTGATTCTCTTAATAGCAATTTCAAAAATGAAACTGCCCAGCTTTTATAAAATTTTATTCCTTGTTGATCTTTTGTTTTGTTGATACTTTAAAAGACATGGGCCCAATTTTCACTAAATGTCTTGCTTTTTGTTAGGTCTCTTGACCATAGGCTATTACTTGGTTAACTACAATGATAGAAAATAAGACTCTTCTAGCATTTATCATTCTTATTGGCTGCTTTCAGCAGAATGGTTGAAAAGATCTTTATTTCAGTTGTCTATGACAATAAATATTAATCATGTTAGTTTTTTGTAAATTCTGCCATGGATAACTAAACAAGACATATTTTTTTTTTTTTGTTACAACTTTTTATGTACAGGTATTTATACCATTGAATACTTTGAAATTTTCAAGTATACAAATTGACTTGGTATAAACTTAAGTGTATAATACTATATTTGTCAGTCTATAAGATGCATTTCCCCACTGAGATGAAGTAACTCAAATATTTTAACTAATTTTTTATCAATGACATTTTTTTTCTTTTTTTGCTTCAATCAAGTTTTAGCTGATTCATTCTTTGATATCTAAACTAAACTGAGAATTAAAAATTAAGTAGAATTGACATTTTTATATATATATATATATATATATATATATATATATGTGTCTTATTTAGTTTAGTTTTCCAAGTAGGCTGTCAAAACTGTCATGATTAGGTAGAATTTTTGCAATCTTTTTATAATTGTCAAAATATTTCTAATAGTGAAATTACTTAATCTGGGTATGTCAAAACTGCTTAAGACAAAAGTAACCAAATGTAACATTTTACCCAATATGTTGGCATTATGAAAAAGAGTAATTAAGATGTTCATTTCAGTGTTAGCAATAATAAATTTTCAGGTTTGGTGGGGTGATACTGAACTTTTTATTGTATATCTGTATATAGAAAAGGTTTCTCTTTCCTTAAGCCATTTCAAAATAATTCTTGAAAAACAGTTATATTTTTGATCTTATAAACTAGCCAATATGTAAATTTCTCTCATTGTTTGCAGCTTTGTTCCATGCACCATGCTGCATGGAACTGATTCCCAAGTGGATACATCCTCCATCACTATCTTAACCTGATTAACTGTTATCTTCCCCATATATCTCCATAAACCGTGCCTCTTACTCTGTAATCCTCTACCTTGAGTGGCTTTTTGTTGGGCCTTGTACATGGTGAATATCATTGTAAAAAAGAAAAGATATTTAGATCTAAAAACATGTTAACAAATATGTCCATTGATTTATTAACTATGATAGGTATGGATGAATAGTTTATTGTTATATCATTTGTCAAAAAAATAAAACAATTTTCTCTACATTCTAAAAATTCATTGTTATAATGTTGCAATATTTTTTGAGTCTTGATATATATAATTCTGGAAAGGTATTCTAGAGAAAATTGATTGTATTGACAAATTGTTGAGTAGAAATGAATTAAGATCTGTAATTTTATTGATTATTTATGCTTTATAAAATAGTACAATTTTTTTATTTTTTTCTTATTTTTAATTTAAATTTTTTTAACCTTATTTTCAGCATAACCATTTTTAAATCAAACTTTTAACTAAATGATTTTGTTGGAATTAATATTCTTTTATTTGTATATGATTAAAAAAACATGCTTGAACAAATGTATTTTTCTTTCAATATTGTATTGTGAATTATGCTAGCCAGTTCAAAATATTTGATTTATTAATTGTAGTTTGTATGCATAGTCAGTTTTTGTGTTTATATAGATACATATACATGCACTTATCTGTGTAGATAGATGTTATTTTCTGCCTTTGTCAACACCAAAGATGATGATTGTATTAGGAATGAGAACTGTTTATTTTTATTTAATTATAGCATCTTTACATTTCTTTTGTGCTGCTTTTTAGCTTTCCTTTTGTTTGCTTCAATGATTACCTAACACCTGTATTTTACTGTCTTGCACTGTGTACAAATTTTGTTCATCTTGCACCTGACCACAACTCTTACCAATACCAGCACCAGCCATTACCAACCACTTGCTATTGTTCATCTGCTCAGACCTATCATCATTACTGTTAAACAAAAGGGTCATATTGTTCTTTTCTGTGATTAGTTTAAGTCCTGCTTAGTGTTGTGTGAATGTGTATCATAATTTTTTTTTTCTTTTAAATGAAAATATGGTTGTCCATAGAACATCAGTTCTGTGATGAGTGATTCATTTATTTGTTTTTGATTTTGAAAAAAAATAAGAACATTGAATGAGAAGAAAACTGATGTTGGTTTCTTCGTTTGCTTAGTCTGACTCATTGATTGATGATGCTGACCAGGCATTAGTGGGTGACCATCTTGCAAAGTATCAGGAACGCCAGCAGTCTCCCCTGGGGTATGTCACCTTCATATGTTCCGTATGTGTTTGTCTGCCTGCCTGTGTTTGTTTGGTAGATAGATCTCAATGCCCCCACTTATTCATTTACATTGTTAATATTTATATTTTGTAATTTAAGGTCTACTAATTATTAGTGATTTGCAAATTTTAGAAATATATTGACATTACATGAATTGTCTAACTTACTTAATATTTTATCTTTAGTTATACGTTTAAGGAAATAAATATTTTAAAAGATCTTGTTGGATTAATATCTGAATATTTCAATATTGCGAAATACCTTTTTATTTATTTTTAATCACATTATATCTACTGCTCATTAGTGATAAGTTAAGAATGACATTTTAGTATTTCCATTAAAAACTAGACAACCAATTCTAGTTAGCATAAAAGTAGCAAATTTGATATTATTTACTGTTTGTAAAATGTTTAATCTTAACTTTCATTATTAACTTCAATTTTGATCAATGTAGTTGTTCACTGTTTGTTTCCTGTAGTACAATATGACAAACAGTGGATGGATATATCTCACTATATACATTATTTTCTAAAATTCTAGGAAAATTATGTATTTTATCTGGTTTTATATTTCTACTGTATTTAGTAGTATAAAAAAAATAGTTGTCTTGTTCTAATTTTTGTATGTAATTTAATCCAGGTAAATATTTTAATTAAATGTTATATTAATTTTTTATGAGGGAGTGTTTAAATATTCTCAGCTTGACCTATTTTTCAAGCTCTGTATTTCAATGAGAATATAAATTTTATGAAATTGGTCTGGCCAAGAAGATTTTAGTGTCACCTCATATAAATATTTTGTTATTTATGATTTGCTTGCTAAAACTTAACAAATACTAAACACACATATAAAAATGATACTAACAAAAATTAACAGAAGCACTTTCTTTGCTTGACAGTTTCATTTATTTATCATAAAGAAAAACAAATATAGTGTTTGAAATAAACATTTTTAATAGTAATTGATTTTTTTTTCCCCAAGAAGTCATGAATTGTTACTTAATTTCTATACTATTATTTTATCAGTATTTGACTATGGTTATAAAAATTTATACTAAGCTATAAAAATAATAAAGATGAAACAAAACATGATGGTATTTCTGTTTTGTTTTCTCTTTTACTATATTTTTTTTTTTTTTTTTTTACTTATACATTTTTTTATCTATAAATCTTTCCTATGTTTGTACAGAGATCAATACAAAAATTAATATTTTAGACAAAGATGAGCAAAATGACTGACATTTAAACCAAACCACAAAAGATTAAAAGAATGATTATGATTATTTACAATTTTAGGGTGCTAGATATTCTTTTATTAATGTTACTGATATACAGGAAGATAGGAGGAAAAAGTTTTGTTTTTTTTTTTGTTTTTTTTATTATTAAAAAATAACAATACCATCAATTACAAAGAAAGTAGAAGAATTAGTAGAATAGAAATAATGATATTGAAATTTCAAAAATTTTAGCACCATGTATCACCATCGTTTTAACACTATCTTTCAGTTACAGCTTATTTCTAAGGTTTAATGTTTGACATCATTTTTTATAGACAATCCCAGTTTATTTCATTCTTACTCCTTACTGAATACTATTCTGGTATTTCTTATCAGTTGAACATTAGAAAAGTTTGACAACATTCCAGAATTGTTTTAAAATATTAATTTGTTTAATGCAAATATTTCTATACATTATTCGTAATATTTTGTGATTATAAATGTTTATTCTAAAAAATAACTTTAAAGGCAACATAAATACTATTATTTTCAAAGAATAGTTTTGATAGTATATATTTGATTAATATAGTTACCTCCACTTTTTCGCAGGAAAACATCATGGCATAATGAAAAAAGCTACAAACTTAAAAAAATAAAGTATTATCATTAAAATCTTTGTTATTATTAAGATGAAAAACCAAAGTATTTTTTAATTATTTTTTGAGATTTTTTTTAATCCTTTCTAAAATGTTCAAAATTTTAGTTAAAATCTTGTTTTATTTGTCATTGGGGTGGCATAATAATAACATTGACTTTTTTGTCCTTTTTTTTCCTGTTAAAAACACATTGATTTGGAAATGCTTGTAAAAATCAAATAATTGTCCAATTTTAATGACATTTTCAGGACTTTCATAAATGAATGAAATTACTTTTGAAATTTTTTTTTTTTTTTTTTTTTATACACGTATGTTACCCCCCTTAATTTCACAAAAAACCTTTCTATTTCCTGAATTTTTTTTTTTTATTCGTTAAAAGTAGGACACCTTGTAAAATCTAAATTGCCTAACCATTTTTTTTTTTTCTTTTCAAACTTGCACTATTCAAACTGAAAATCTGCTCTGAATTGAAAAATAATGAATGCAATAAAACTGACATTATTTAATTAGAAAAGCTTTTAATTGCTTTTGTAAATAAGTTATATTAAGGATATTATTGTCTGAAGAAATAAAATTTTTCCGATGAATAATGAATTTTTACAAGAATTATTTTATTTTTTAAATTTTAATTATAATAATTTATAATAGTTTAAAATTCTGTAAAATTCTGTATTGGCCCATTTCCTGAATGTGATGTAGTAATTAAGTGGGAACGAAATTTATGAATCTAAAATTAAAAAGATTAATAAACATAGTTACGCTATTCTATTTTTAAAATAATTTTTTTATTTCTTATTTTTTATTTAATTTGTTCTCTATATTCATCTATTAAAGTTTAAATGTGATATTATGAAATGGTCACATTATCTAAGAGTCTTGTCTCTTTACAGAGAAATTAATTTAAGAAAATTTTATAGTATTTAAAATTTTTTTCTATTTTTGCATAAAGCATCTTCAAAAGGTAAATAAAAATCAATAAATTATTAGATACTTGCGGAAAATATGTTCATTTGTAAAAATTACTAGGTAGTTAAAAACAAAAAAAAAATGTGTTCACTTAGATTTCTTAAATTTTGTATCAATTCTAGCCACCCATATTAGCTGTCATCACTTTGTCACTCATTGGCTATCTATTATCACCTCAGATAAGCTATGATAAGCAGGACCAATCATTAAATAACTGGTTGTATATTACTTTTTTATGCTATAAGTAATATTCATTTCAAATCGGATTAATTTAACTTAAAATTTTCTAATTTTACTCAAATAACGTGTCAGAAATATATGTGCATTTTTTGAAAGAATTTTAAAATCGATAAAATTTTTTTTGTTTATAAATTTCTTAAAATTAAGAAAATGGCTGCTTTTAAAAAAATTTAAAGAAATTGAAATTAAATTTGACATTCCAATCTATATAATTTCCATCTGAAATACACCAGAATATTTTACTTACTGGAAATAATAAATTCTTGTAAAAATCAAATAATTGTCCAATTTTAATGAAATTTTCAGAACTTGCTCACAAATGAATGAAATTATTTTTGAATTTTTTTTTTTTTTTTAAAGTCTTGTTGAAATGTAAAAATAAAAAAAATTAAAGTGATAACTATCCATTAAAAATGTAACAAAGATTTAAAAGAAAATATTACATTTAGTTGAAGAAAAAAATGACTAAAGCTGTATTAGATTTTAAAATGCTTTAATATTATTTTTAAAAAATCAAAAAGATTAAAAAGCTGTTTATAAAACCATGGTGCAAACACAAAAGAAAAAGAATCAAGGTGGTAATAGATTTTAAACTTTCATTTGCTTTTAAGAGTTTCACTCAATATTATTTCATAAAAGAAATAAATAATTATGAATGTTAAAAAAATTAGTATTCTAAAGCTCATTTTGCTGAAATATTTTAACAGTAGTATGTTAGCATGTGACATGCCAATTTTCCTCTTGATAAGAAGTTTAAATTGCAGGCATGTTTCACTTAATTTTATATGACTTGTTTTTTATATAAAATCTTACTATTTCTTTTCATTAAAATGAATAGATAAATTTAATAATGAATTCAACTTAATACAAATATTTCATGTGTGTATGTATGCCTATTATATAATATGCATGTAGGCAAATTTGACAAGTAAACAAATGTACTGTGGATAGTAAATGTTGAAAAACTTGCATGATATGACATTAGTTGCCAGTCATAGGCTTAAGTCCCACACTGTCATTTTTAAAATGGCTTGCTTTAAAAAAAAAAATCCCAAAACTCAAACCTATGACTGATGTTGATAATTATATAACAGTTATGAGTAGACTTTATAAAATATACTTGTGTATGTAAAGCATGCCTAGTGTAAATAGATTTGGCTGAAAAGCATTGCATGTTTATATGAAACTCTTATAGTAGATAACCTGAAATTTGATACTTGGAATGTTTAACATTTCATAAGTTTAGCTAATATAAAAAGCCAACAAACTTAACTAAAAAGCCACTTTTGCCATTTGAAATTTTTTGTTTGAAAAAGTAAAAAAAAACCTTAAACTTATAGTTTAATACTTAAATTTGAAAGATTTATTTTTCTGTTTTTGTTAGTTTGACTGTTAATGAGATTTAGAAAAATACTTTTAATGTAAATTATTGTATTTTTATGATTAACTTTTGATTCGGTCTGAAATAACTTTTCCTAAAATGAAAATCTTTAATAGAAATTTTTTCCTGTTAAAAAGACTTGATAATTAAAAAATTGTCTTAATAACATAAAATTTCTATTGGCTAATTCATCCATTCACAGTATTTTGACTGGTATTATCTTTTATATATGTTCCAATCATGAAAGCATGTGATTCAAGAAAGTGATTCTTGAGTGCCATGAGTTGAATTCATATTTGAAATGCCCTTGCTTATTCCTACTAACAATCTCATCTTGATTTTTATTTTTTTGTTTGAATGAAGAAATTGTAGTAGAAAATTTTAAGTTGATTAATATGGGAATGCTGAAAATTTTTTCAATACACCCACTTCCAAAATCTGATCACTTCTTTTCAGCATCCATTTGTATTTAGAAATTTTTTCTCTATAAAAATAATATAAAAGTAAAGAAACAGAAAA